CTCGCGCGATCCCGGAGACAAAATTAATGTGCTCCCCCGCCACTCGCATAACTAATTTTGAGAATATGGACAACAACCGACCGAAAAAAAGTCAGAGTGCTAAATATCACCAAATTATCTGTTAGTTTAACGAAAATATACCGCAATAAAAACACTGACCGTATACGGCAGCTGGTTCAATGTCGTGCTAAAACTTCCACACACCTGGGCATAATCTGTGTAAGATATCGAATCGTGTACATGTCGATAGTATTCTACTCTCTGATCGACGATGCCTTTGCGTGGCAATTTTGAGTGTTGGTAAACCATTCGGGTAAGAATAATTTACATGGGCTCTATCGAGTTCAACTGAAGGCTGCATGTAGGCCACACCGTTGTTTTGTTGCATCAAAATGTATACGAGTTATGAATCGTAGCCGTATCAGAGGTGGTGGCGCAATGGTTTAATGGCTGTATCTGGTTTGCTTTGTACCCTATGGTCGGAAATTCAAGCCCCACCACCGCCACACAACTTTGGTGGTAGGCAGGTACGTCTCACTCACCTAGTGGGAGAAAGGGTGGGCGGGGAGCCTATGTGGTTCGCCAGTCCATATTCCGAGGCTTATCGGTTTCCATGACTGAAAAGCAGTTTTTCGAGACCATGGAGCCCACTCTGTGTGCTGTTCATTGCAGTGGTGTGTAATAAACATGTGGGAGCATGGTTTCAGCGCATGACCATTCGATGTTACTGTTGGTATGACGCTGGGCCGCAATGTACGAATAACTACACGTAGTAGAAAGAGTTCAGTTGGGTCATTGCTCAAGTAGGTATCTCATACCTTACACTGAAAGACTTCAACGGCTGGGACATGTATTGCGGATGACAGTTCTACGACTACCCCATCGAGTTCTGTTTGGGCGAACGGGTGGACTACGAACGATGTGAGCGTTAGTCTCAAAATGGGTACTGGTGACACGCTCTAGAGACTCCCAGGTTTGGATCACAAGGGCAGCAAACAAGTACGTATGGTTTGAGACACTAGACTATAGGGCTAGCGACCGGCGTCAACTGTTGCGAGACTCCTTATCCGTTTATTTCTATTGGAACCTCAAAAATGCTCAGTATGGTCGGAGGTGTGCGTCTAGGGTTGCGGCTGGTCACCCTTCCCTTGCATCCCGCGAAATGCTCCCATACGATCAAGCGTCTCTGCTGAGGAAGCCCTATTCAATGCCTTCTCGTGGCGGAGATATTTTCCCACCAAAGTGAGAGGACGAAGAGCCGACATCTGAGGCTACAACCGGGTTGGTGGACCACTGGTAGTTCACCAAGGGGAGTCGGCCAAAAAAAACCATTCCAAACCAACCAAGAGGAGGCGTACGAACTTCACCCACACATTTTCGGTTGTGGCAAAGGTCTCCGGCTCAATTGGGCATCGAGATGTGCTGGGTACCTTGCACGTTTGACCCCGTCCGAAGGGCGTATGATCCGATGAACTGGACACCGGCTCCCAATGGACTGCGGTTCGAACACACCGCCCTGCTGTCTTTCGGGTCAGACTTTGGCTAGCCAAAGGCGCCGGGTGTGGATTCCACAAGCAAATTCACCTGCCTTGGCCTGGCAGTATTCAGCCCACAAGCCAATCGTCGACGGTTTCTTTTTTTTGTACCATGATTTGTTGGGCACACAGTCTGGCGTCAGACAAGTGTGAACTATAATAATTGGAACTCTCTATGTTGTGGCACAATTGCCAACTCTGTGTAATACGATCAAGAGGGGAAAGAAAAGAATAAAAAGCCCCGTCGAACACGTGATTTTGGCATTCAAGTGTGGGCAGGGATTATATATGTGTACAGTAGGAGACGCATTTGTGTATGGTAGAATAGACGAACTAACTGTGCACGTACCAAGAGATGCAAGCTGAACTATAAAGGGGAAATTAGCATAACGAACAAGTTATATTTGACGGAAGAAGAGAGACAGAGTCTGTGTAATTTAACTGGACTGATTTTTGAAAGAATCTATGCGAGGAGAATTGTGTGTTTCAGAGGAATTGAAAGCAAATCGGTTTCGAAGCAATGAGTACAACGTGACAGCGGTAACTCGAGGAAGAGAGGTATTCCAGGTAGATGATTCTGGCAACAAACGAACTGACATACGGCTACGATCGATCGTGGTTCTGGTATGGCGGGACACGAGAGCGCATAATGGAGGATGGCATTAATGACGAAGAAATGCATGGGGTGGAAAATCTTGGGTAGAAAGAAGTTGATAAGAGGCTGGAAGCAAGAATTAAACTTTGGGTAACCGTAACATTTACAAGGAACGAACAGAGACGGTTCGCTGGCTAAGAAAAAGTCACATCCACCATAAGAGAGCAGCAGGGAACTTGAACACTAGGGATCTCGTCAGTACACTAATGCACCTGACTAGATCGACGGCTTCTGATACTTAGAACGAGACCAGGAGTGTTTCTTCAAAATTGTTTCCCGAGGAAAAGAACTGGTGTCAACTGGTGGTAGTTGTCTAGTTGAATCCAATGTCGCGGGAGGCCCATTGGATAGGGCCTTTAAATGTTTTGCTCATCGCTAAAGAAGACTTTACTTTGTGTGGATCAGTGTAGAGTTGGACTCCATAAGTACCCTCAATGTAGGGTCCGAGAACGCCTAC